TTCTACAATTCTATCTGGTTGACATCTTCAATGACAGTTCTGCCCTTTGAGTGACATCTCTTTTTCCTCACATCCAGTCTGAAGCTTCCAAGCTGCACTTCGTGGAGGTTTTCTTCTCTTCCCATTCCACTAAAATCTTCATCATCTCTAAAACCACCCTCCAAGTAGTTGTATACTACCACTGCAGCACCTGGAGCCTCCTCCTTCACCAGGCTAAAGAAGCTCAAGACACTTATCCTCTCTACACAGTCTGCAAAATGCATCCTGGCAGATGCCTTCTGGAGTCGCTCTAGTAATTCCCCATTCCCAGTTGACTGAACTTTAACAAATGTGACACCTATCTACAAGAAAGTCTAGGAAGAGAATGTGGGGAACTACAGGCCTGTCAATCTGGCCTCAGAGCCAGGTCAGTTTAGGGAGCACATCATATTGAGTGTCATCATGTGACACATACATGACAACTAGGTGATCTGGCCCAGACCACATGGGTTTAGGAAAGGCATGTCCTGCTTCACTGACCTGATCTCCTTTATGACAAGATGATATACTTACTTGAGGAGGGAAATTTTGTGGACATTGTCTACATGGAGTTTAGAAAAACCTTTGACATCATTTTCCCACAGCATTCTGCTGCAGAAACTGGCTTCTCAAGGCTTGGACAGGTGTACTGTTTGCTGGATGAAAAACTAGTTGCATGGCTGGACTCGAACAGTGGTGCTGAATGGAGTTCAGTCCCCTTGGCAGCAGGTCACAGGCTATTCTCCCATTATGGTGATAGATCTAAGGAACAGCATTTCAAAAGAAACCTCACATAGTCCGAATGACTTTCTTACTGGAATTACATCAGCCCAGCACTTTCTGCTGGAATAACTCTCTCCTCAGACTTGGATTCGTCTCCTCTGGTCCCATGGACTGGGAAGGGTGCAGTTTGCTGAAGGAACCCCTGGCTCGATCCCCATTCAACCCTGATTGTTTACTGTTCCCATCCAGAGTCCTGCCTCACAGCACCAAAGCCTGGGAGACCTTGCTGGTGAAAGCTCGGGCACAGAGGACATGGACTATCTTAGATCTTTCTACACATCATCATGGCTGGGCTTCGCGAATCAAGATATGGGAAGGGCTCTACCAACACTTGTTACAAGCGCGCTGATGGCTAAAATGGCTGATGCAGAATAGGCAAGTCTGGTTGCAAAAGGCATGGTGGAAAGTTTCCTTAGGCGGTAAAACTCCTGAAAGGTGTCTTTCAGTTTTGGCTTTGCTTGACCAATAGTGTAGCTGGCACCGGGTTCTTTGAGGCTGCTTTCCTCATGGAGACAAACTTCACAGAGAGCAGCAATGTTAATGTTGAGTCCTGATATTTTGTGCACCAAAACAACGCTCAGGATTTCCTCTATCCACAGTATCAAACATGGTTTTAATGTTCCAACATGCGAGTGTCAATCTGAACAGACCTTGGGAGACAGGTGTTTGCCTTTGTCTCTTTGTGTTTGTTCGACTGCATCTGAAGATACCCGTTGGCTGCGGTTAGCCAACTGGCTGGAGGGTGGAGATGACCTTTGATTAGGCCACCTTTTCTAGGCCCCTCTCCCTGTGGAGCAAGCAGTGCTCTCCCTGAAAAAGGCTACATGGTCATTTAGGATGTTGACGAACAAGACTGTCATCTCCAGGGTCAGTCTCGAGCAACCAGCACCTTGAAGTGCCTGCATGCAGGGTTGGGTCTGCGACTTCCAGTGCACCTTATCACCGGCAATTTCATCCCTCTCCTGTCGCTACAGGACTGTACAAATGTAGATAAAACCTTCATGTCCGCACAATGGATTTTTTAGGTGAGGCTCAGCATGAACAGAACTGACCCCACTCTTTACTCCTAAGCTTCATCTACAAGGGCCTATAGAGCTTGGATGGTGACAGCAAAGTCCTCAGGATGTAGGTTTAGTTAGAGTATCCTT